TCTAGCTCCTCAATCTGATTCATCAAATGTTGTTTTCTTTCCTCAAGCCTCCCAAATTGGAGAATATTCCGTTCTTTGATTTTGATTTTCAACTCCTTCAGCTTCTACTAAAATTTCATACCCTCCCAATTAGCCCTTGGATCACTTGCTACCCACCATTCTTTCACTTCTCCTTAAAACCTGGATGGGATAACCACATGTTCTCAAATCTGAATGGGATAGGTCCTCTATTTCTAGAATCCACCTTATTAATCAAAACTAGCTAATGATCAGAGATGACCCTAGGTAGTGTCCTTGACATCAGATCTCCCCAATATTCTTCCCAATCAGTAGTAAACAAAATTCTGTCTAATTTTGAACAAATTGGATCAACTTGGAGATTTGATCAAGTAAACCGACTATGCGACAAATTCAGTTCTTTGAGCTCAAACACATTGACAAACTCATTGAATTTCCTCGTACTTGTAGTGTTTCTTTGCCGCATTTTGTTACACTCCTCAGTGAATCTAATTACATTAAAATCCCCTCCTAAGCACCAAGGACCTTCCCATAATCCTCTTATGTCTCCTAGCTCTTCCCACAACTCACTCCTCTGCCTGTATCCATTGGGGCCATATACATTAGTTAATACCCATTCAAAACCATTGCCCACCTGTTTGAATTTAACAGAAACTGAAATTTTCCAATCAATTCTTCAACTCCTTCAACAACTTCATTTTTCAACAAAGTCACTATTCCTCCAGAAGTTCCCCATGAGACTCATTGCTCAACTTATGCTGTTTGCTCTCCATACACTTCTGGCCCACCTACTATTAAATGTCATGAGCTTAGATTCCTGAATTAGGTGTATATCTGGATTTTCTTTTCACAGTAGCTCCTTTATTAGCACCCTCTTTCTTGCATTCCCCAATCCTCTCACATTCCAACTCACGATCTTCATCTTGCCTTCTTATTCTGTCCCTAACCTGATTTCTTCCTATTTTTCTCCTTTCCTACCCCTGCCCTTTCTCTCACTGATTTTCTTATCCCCTTCCACATCTTGCCTCAGCCTTTCAACTTCATTCATCTTTCTTTTTCTCACCTTCCCTTCTTTTCTATTCTTAAGGTATATTTTCAGCTCATTCAGATTTCTTATTTTACATCCCAATTTTCCCAAAAATTCAGCCAACGACTCTTCTTTTGCTTCTTCCAATTCAGACTCCTCTGATTCCTTCTCTTTTGTCCCTTCACTCTTTCCGTAATCCATCTCGTCTGCAGTATCTTTATACCCTCTATCCACACTTTCACTTTCCTTCTTTTTCTCCCCTCTCTGCTCTTTCTCTTGTATCTCAATTTCATCATGGGCAAACGGTAAGGAAGCAGCACCGAAACCTGGAGTACAAGCAGCAAGACCAGAGCTAGAGTTAGTATCAAAACCCAAAGGCAGACATACTTGGACCTGATTTGAAGTAGATTCGACACTGGTCTGGACTTCACAATTCACTCCCAGAATATAATTTTGTGAGGAATTTTCTGAACCTGATTCGGACTCACAACTACTTCCATCGCTCTGTCGTTTATCCCCCTCTGTTACGCCTTTGTTCGAAGTTTGGATATTGATTGATATTATCTTACCCATTCCTTGCTCATCGTTTATCCCTCTCTTCATCTTTCAGCATTCCACCATTATTAGGATATTTTTTATTAGAGTTTAAATCCTTATGTTCTCCAACGAACAGTTCAACAGCTGCGCTAAGCATGTCCTCCATGTCTTCTTTCTCCATCATATCTTTCCCAAAGCTGTCACTCTCTGTCTCAGATTCTGGTTTGTATTCATCGTCTGAGGATTCGCATTGAACCCAGCCAGTGTCCTCTTCATTCTCCTCTCTTCTGCCTCTGAAATACCTCGGATTTGGGCATTCTTCTCCCAACTTTCCTTGGTTCGCTGCATCAGATTTGGATACTGGGATCCATTGTAATTTTCTCTTCACGTCAGCATTGTTTCTTTGGCTGAAACAAGAATCCTTCTTTTGTTTTTTCTGTGAGGACGAAGATAGATCATTCATAGTCTCCAGTTGCACCCAAGTGGACCCGACTCACGTGACCTTTAAAGGTGTCACCTGAGTCGAGTAAAATATATGGACCACTCCCCCGCTTGGACCTCAATTGACCCACTAGGACGCCAGTTGGGTCAGACCGGGACCTATAAACAAGTTTTTCTCCTTTGGGTGGACCCAACCCTTGGTCTGACCGGGTCACCCCTTTGACTACCTTTGCGAAAGAATGGCCCTCAGATTTTCTGGATTCAAAAAAATTTGAAAACTTTTCTTCAAATGGCCGAATATTTGGCTCTGGCCGTTCAGCTTCCAAGGTGGGAATGTCTTCATTCCCAGAAAAGTTTTCCTTCCCAAATCCGCACACGTGTCCACTTTTCTTTCCTTGTTCATCGACAATTGTAACCCACTTTGCCACGTCACAATCGTCTTCAAGCTTCGACCTTCCATACCAGAGCGACGCTTCAAGTTCCGATGCTACCCAGATTTTGTACCAGTAGCCGTCCACATATAGATTGATGGATCTTGGAACCTTCTCAGGTTTCACACCAGCAACTTTCAAGTTCACTGCTCTCAAGTCCACCGTCTTGAAGGATAGGAGAGCACCACCCAAAGCTGTTGCTATTTTTTGGAGAGTGGTTTTTTGCCATAGATGAAAAGGCAAACCTAGAAGCTTCAGCTTGAAGCTCCCGTCCCCATTGTTACTTCATTAGCCGATGGGCACCAGTTTTTAATTGTTACAGGTCCCTCACTTGTTTCTACAGTTTTGAAGTCCAATATCTCCCTTCCCCCCATTTCCATTACAGCTTTTCTGTCATTGAAGGGGATTAGTATCACAGTATGAGGAGTACCAATTTTGGAAGTTACCTCCTCGAGTAAGCCTTTCCAGTCGTTTACTTCCTTCTTTGCCGACAAGATTAGTCTTCGCTCCCAACTTTCTTTCTCCCCCTCCAATGAGATCTTTGGTTCTGGTATTGTTAGAGATACTGCCATTGAATCAGTATTTTCTTCATTTTCTTCTAACCCCAGCCTCTCTAATTGCTTCCTTCTCTTTGTCATTTCTTCCTTTCCCAATATTGCTGTCAATTTTCCTGGTTCCTTTATCTCTTCCTTTCTCACAGACATTATCCAGTGAAGTTCGTTTGCTATCGTACTCCAGCCTTGCAGACTGTTGCCTAMTGGTATGATGATCCTCTGTTTTTTTTTTCTCTGCTCAAAACTTTCCTCCAGAACAACGAACCAGCCATTGGAGTTTCTCTTTCTCTCAGCAAAATACTCCCTCCTTAACTGCCTAAGGGAACTCTTCCATGACCTACCCCAACTTACATGTACTGCTCCATCCAGGAAGCTCTGGAACCATGATACAGCTTCACCCACCAGCAGTATCGTTCCTCTTCTTCCTTCCCTTATCTTTATCGTAAGATTCTTTTGGTATACAATTTCTTCCATCAAGAATCCTTTTTCTCTCGGCTGCAATCACTTTTCTCCATTTTCCAGTTGTTGTGAATCCTTCGTTCTTCTCCATCCCAACTTTTGGCTTTTTGTTGGTCCCAGTTGTCCAGGGTCCTGGGAGGGGTTAGCAGTGGATCAAAAATGTTCTGCACATTTTTCCTTCTTCTAACACTTCATTGTTCTTTTCATCTCTAGTAATTGTTGTTGTTGTTGTTGTTATGATTTGCAAATACCTCTTCCCATTAAATGGGGAAAATCTTTCTTAATTCTTAACAAAGAGCATAAACAATATCTAAACGAGCCACACCCTTGAGTAACAAAATAGATTTCAATTAACTATAGGTAAATGTTGTATCACATATATTGATAAAAAAATGCGGTATCATATGAGAACCAATGACCAAATTACCAAGTGGACTTTATTGGATTTAGGTCCAGCTGAGGCATGCTGACTTGAGTTTTGACCTGAGCCGCGTTCAGAGTTTGAAACAGCTGCTGAGAAAAGATTCTCTAGTTCTGGCATCTGAACGACCCCTGGAGACCTAGCATCTATGTGTGTTTTTTTTCTTAAGAACCATCAAGTAGATTCTTTTGCCCATCCAAATGAATTTAATCCTTCAATGGAAGAAGGTGTAGGCTTACGTTTTGTGATTGAAACTGATTTTCTAGCCTACCATTGGCTGGAATGAAAGTGCAATATTGGTAATACCTTTGAAAACAATAGAGGTCTTGAAAGGAAAACGAGGAATTTGAACGTGGAAAAATGGCTTTTGAACCTCAATAGAGAAAGAGATGCAAAAGAATGAGTCTCTGGTGGCCTGTGCTTTTCCTTTTTGCTCATTTGGATGGATATTTTCACAAGTTTATAGGTCACAAAAGGATTTCAACAGAATTTTCTATTAAATTGTTTTTTTGGGCTATGAAGAGATTATCCAGGATTGAAAAATCATGGAGAATATTTCTATGGGTTGTGGTCCAATCCATACAGTTGATGGTGTAATAATAACTAATTATCTTTTTTTTTGTTTTGTTTTTTTTTCTTTTGTTGTGGTAGTGTGTTAAAAAACGGGGGTAGCCCTTCCCCAAACCCCTAGATTACCCCTAACCCAGGCGAAGGCAGGACTTGATCCCAGGTCTCCACTACAACCATTTAGAGACTTTACCAGAAGGCTAGCTGGCACCTTTTTTTGATGGATAAAAATAGATTTTATTAAGGAATAGAATAAGAGTTACATCAAGGCTAGCTGGCACCTTCAGGGTAACTTGTTATCTTTAATTAACAAATAGTTTCTTTTGGATGATAAAGGCCAATGTTTTTCTGATAATGTAAACTTTATAAACCTAACTTGTCAATTACTTCATTTTTTACTTACCTGGAAACAAGGAAGTTCTATCCTATTTTGCAAATATTTTGAGAAATGGATTGTTATCAAAGTGTTAGAAAAATCTGAAGTTGTTTGATATGTTAAGATGAATGAGTTCTGTACTAAGTCATACTGGAATTGTTCGATGCAGGTTTTGGTTGTAGGTGGTGGTGATGGCGGAGTTCTTAGAGAAATCTCTCGCCATAGCTCAGTGGAGCACATTGATATTTGTGAGATAGATAAGATGGTCATTGATGTATGTGAATGAACTTCATTACATGATTACCTTGTCATTTTTATTTGTTATTAATTTTATTATTATTATCTTGGTCTAACTGCTGTGCGTTATATGTTCTAGGTGTCCAAGAAGTTTTTTCCAGATTTATCTGTTGGATTTGAAGATCCTCGTGTCCAACTTCATATTGGCGATGGTATGCTAAGGCAACGATTAAAATATCGATACACTCTATACCCAAAGATGGGTATTGATGCATATTGGATATGACTGATACTCCGTTTTTTACTTTTTATTTTATAAGGATTATAAGGATGGGATTTTTCATCTCAAAGTTAACTTTTAAAAGATACATGTATTGGTTGTAATTATTTGCATTCTCCTACCAGTTCAAATTTAGCTGTTTGCCGTTACTACAAATTTTGGATTCCTACAACTGTTGAAAACCTGAATTGTTTTATCAGAATTTAGACTGCATGTTGAAACTAATTAATGTATACAACATGAGAAACGTGTTTGAGTCTGAGTGCCCACTTAGTGTAAAAAAGTGTAGGAGATTAGGCCTTTATCCACTCCACCATCCCACCGCCCAGACAACCAGAATCAGCTTTGGATAATGACCTATACTTTTTTTTTTTAATTTTTTTATGAATAAATAATGGCCTTTACTGTCGATCTCATGTCAATGGTTTAACAGCTGCAGAATTTCTACGAAATGCACCTGAAGGAAGGTATGATGCAATTATAGTAGACTCATCGGATCCTGTAGGTATGCTATTATTTATATTTCATGTCTCATTTTTTGGTTCCCTGGTTTGGATAGTGCTTATTATTTCCCCCCTTTGTGCTTCCATATGTTTGGGAGTTTTTTTAGATGAGGTTCTTTTATTAGTTTCAATTCCATATGGAATGCTTGATTTTTGTGCGAACTAAGTTAATTAATCTCGGAATCTGCACAACATATTTGAAATTCTAGTGGAAGAAGTACCTGTCAAAAATAAAAAAAAAAGAACTTTTAATGGAAGAGCTAGATATGGAGGATAAGCTTAGAACTTAAAATCTGTGTTGCTGTTGCATGGAAATAGATGCAAAAGTTGGAATTACATGTGTATGTGACTTGGGAAATAAGAAAACATGGACCCGAGGGCATGCTAAATAACAAGTTACTACAATTATATCTTGTGAATTCTGAAATCATATGCTATGGAAAAGGGTGTTTACTAAATTCAGTGTTGTAGGACATGGACAATGGTGTCAGATTCTGACACATCTGGTAGTCTGATTTGGTGAACTGGAATAGGTAGAGGATCATCCATAACTGGCTGACCGTCCGGTTTAACCGGAAAATTGGTGAACTGGTCCCAGTTTCCTAAAATCGCTTGGGTCTCGAATGTGTGTAATTTTCAAAATGAAAATGGCAAGATTCAAATCCATGACCTTGTTTTTCCATGCATATTGTCTTATTGCCATTAATCCGCTTCATTATTTGTGTTCATTTGTGAATCTATAATGTACATATTCCATTAATGAACATGCAAGGTTCAAAGTAATGGCACGATATGCCCCATATTGGGTGTATCGTATTGTATTGGCAGGGTGCCGATACACCTTTTTTAAAGCTAATCCCCAAACCACTTGTTTTATATGCTAACCCATATGCTTAAACCTACCCCTCAGCCCTATTTTTGAAAATAATTAAAAAAGGCATGTGGTGCAAAGTATTGATACACCCCTTCCGCCATATCGGGGTGTATTGATACTTTGAACCTTGTGAACTTGTATTTCAAAGAAATCCATAAAAAAAACTTGTATTTCAAAGAAAATGTGAGTTGGGAGGTTTGAAGTATAACATACTTGCATAATATATTATTTATAGTATGTTCCCATGGTGTATATATGTATATGCCATGTCATCACGGTTTGACCTCCAGTTTGGCTGCTGTTGAATCTCTGACCCATGAACCTCTCCCCTTTCTGGCTCTATGTCCGGTCTGGTGCTCTGGACATTGGTTGGAATTTAATAAGTGGCTGAAATGGACACTAATAATCAGAGAAATCTGCTTCCATGCTGATTAGCCAAAATAAGCCCATGCTTTCTGAGAAATCTGCCCTTGAAACTTACAGTATGTTTTTTTTCTTTTTTTTTTTTTTTTTTTCTCATGTTCTGCCCAAGCTCTTGTAGAAAAGCCATTCTTTGATACAGTAGCAAGAGCATTGAGGCCTGGTGGTGTTCTTTGTAACATGGCAGAGAGTATGTGGCTTCATACTCATCTTATTCAAGATATGATCTCTATATGTCGTGAAACATTTAAGGGATCTGTCCATTATGCTTGGGCAAGTGTTCCTACATACCCAAGGTAATGTTCTATCTATTGCCAAAGCATTTTTTTATGAACAATAAAGTTTTCCACCATAGGTTATTTCTTGTGAAGGGCTGTACTTTATTGGTATAGCCATAATTCCCTAGTAAAATTGAATTTACATGTTCCTGTTTCATTAGAGGACTTCTCTAGTGTTACCGAATTTGTGCCAAATAAACAAATTTTGTCATCTAAAAGTAAAATTACAAGAAACATGGTGGGTTGTTACTTTCCCTTCATAAAGCAAATTATTTCCTAAATAGAATTCCTATATATGGGGTAAAATGAAGTCAAAACTTGTTTCTAATCTTAGGGAGGAGAATATCAAATCCATATTATACCTGTTTTGGTACAAACAGTACAAGAACTTCAGTTGGTACTTTTTTGCGTTGAAGTATACCATTGAAAATAGAATAGTTAAATCTTTTCCCACAACGAGTGCCATTTACTAGAAGGGCTTACTCTAACTTTTGCAAGTTGGACATTTTGGTCAGGGCTAATGCATTAACATTATATTACCAATATAAGGATATTGCTTTAGATATAAGATCATTCTGAGGGGGTTTCTTTTTTTTTCCCCCATGCTGCAGCGGTGTGATTGGCTTTCTGTTATGTTCAAAGGATGGGCCACCTGTTGACTTTTTAAATCCTGTTAATCCTATTGAGAAGCAGGAAGGTGCTGCCAAATTCCGGAGGGAACTCAGGTTCTATAACTCAGAAGTAAGAATCATTTTTATTATACTAGAGCCGATATTATACATTTTTTATTTCCATGCCAAGTTCAATAACTTTCTAGTTTTTGGAATTTGTTGATGACTATTTACCTCCAGGTAATTCTTGGTTTAGAGTCATGTCTACAATTGCTATCTTTGTGCATTGACGGATATACTAAATGTAGAGAATTATTTCATAGAAAAGTTGACGTTGACTCTTTGTTTTGAATATTTACGTTAATTGTCATAGTATTGCCTTGGGGGCTTTGTCATTCATTCCTTTTGTTGACCACACTTACCTACTAGGCCACTTCCAGAGACCCATTGGATGGTTCAAATAGCAGTTTTATTGTTGTGTGGAGATCATGAAATTTAAATATAATCCTCCTGCATAGGGTTGTGTTTTAGAATTTTCCTTTTCAAATTGAATGGAATTCTTGAAGTTTTTCAAGTTCTATTACTTATTATTCTTTTTGTAATAAAATTTTCATCATTATCTATCATTAGGATTAGGGATGCAAGTCGGGTTGCCCAAATTAAAGTTCAACTACATCAGGCCCAAGTCAGGGTTTGGGCCCATTCAAAATTTTAACAAAATTTCAACCCAACCCAAGTGGCAGAAAGAATTTGGACTTTGCAGCTCCACACTCTTCTCCTCGTGAACTTCTTGGAGATGTTAGAATTGATGACCACGATGGTGCACTAGAAGTAGCTTTTGCCCCCTGGTAATTTTTGCAAACAAAAAGTGAGAAGTGTAAAGAAAAAAATGGAAACCAATGGCCAAGAGCCATTAGACTATGGAGTATGTTAGCTAAGGAAATGAGGTGTAAAAACACAATCGTCTTGGTAAACCAGAATACTAGATGTGCCATCAGTTACGGATGCTTTCCAAAAATATCAGATGCATTCTGTATGAAATGTGAAGCCACACATACGGATGTTTTAAAAGGTGTGTAGGTTCACAGGTCTCATTTTGTAAGGATATATGTGCCTATTTCTGCATTTTAGTTCAGAATTCATTCAAAAAGGCATATAAATACGTTCTTAAGTAGCAGAAGATATTCTCAGTCAATTGGAAGATTGTCCAGTTTGCAGGTAATGTGCCGCTGCAGTTAAATTACTAGCCAATTTTAATTGGGAATTGGATGCTCCAAATCTGCTATCAAATTTGTCTTGTTAATGGATAATGGTTTAATAGCAACTCTTTGAATGACAGATCCATTCAGCTGCCTTTGCATTACCATCATTTGTGAAGAGGGAGGTGTATGCTCTTTGTGATTCTCCAACCTCAGCACAGGGTAGCTGTGTTTTGTAGCTAATTTGTTGGTCTGCATTTTCCATTTCTTTTGAAGAGAAAAGAAGTGTTCCTATGTGAAGAAATAGCATCAAAATAGTAATTTGAATTAGACTTGCTCCTTTATGTAGATGGCTTTGTACTCTGCCTTGATGGCTTAAATATAACTTGTGTTTTTTCTTGTGTACTTCTATGGACTATGGAATGTAGAGTGAAGTAACCACGGAAATTGCTAAGATCTTGAACATAAAGCTAGGTATGGAGTGTTTTATTTGGTCAGATGTTTCCCAAGTCATCCGTAGTAGTCGAGTTCAAAATCATTCAGATTATTAAATGTTAGATATTGACCCAACAAGATCGTTCACATTGAACAATTGCTAGAATGTTGGATTGGATGGCTAAAAGATCCACCAGAGGTCGAATGGTGCCAACTATTTGACCAGGTGGTAGTGGTCGTCGAATCTACTAATTTGGATGGCCATTTCTGGGTAGTGGTCGTCTCCTGCGCAATTTTGGAGGCTCAACCAAATGGTCGATTGGTCCACTGACTGGATGTGAGTCTGACTTGGTCTCTTGGGCTACTCTCTTTCTGTTTCCATGCTAATTCTTTTAAGGGAGAATGACTGATCGATCCAGGTCAGAATTTTTTAGCCCCACCATACAAGGGGATGAGTCCTGACCGTGAATTGATGTCAAATTTATGGGCAGGATGCGGTTTATAGTGGGGCTATTAGTAGACTATAGGGTGTTATAATTCAGGTAACAACAGACTTAAACCTCCTCTGTTTCCTTATTATTTCTTTTGAGGTTTCTCAAACCTTCTCTTTCCAAATACGACTAATTCCTCTTTTGTCAGAGTTATGTTTAACGGAATCGTCGAACAGATATTGTTCATCCTTGCAATTTTCAATATAGTAGAGTTATTCAATGGCGGTGATTCTTACTCACTTTTTCTACCCACTTTCTACTGGCCGTGAATTGTCACCATACATCTCTTAATTCATTGCAATTCATAGCGACTAGAGAGGGTAGGAAAAGTGAGTAGGAAATCCCGTTTGCCTGGGAGACGGACGTGGGTTAGCAAGAAAAACCGAACTGAATAGATGAGACCGAATTGAAAATTCGGTTTTCCAGAAACCGGTATGAGCACCCCTACTCACGAGGGAGAGATTATTTGCTGCTTCGTTGTTTAGAACTTTAGATGAGAATGGTGGGTTCTTTGTGAGGGGGAGGGGTTGGGTATTGGATTCTCTTTCTGATTTTGATTTGATGGGAATATCTGGTGTAGGTGGAAACCATCCATTTACATAGCGTCTGTTTGGCATTGATGCCGTTGCTCCAGAAAATGGTGATACATCAGTGCCATGTTGGAAAATATGATGCTTCAGGAAATACTTATTTGTTTGGAACTGTTTTTTTCATAAAAAAAGTGTTCCAAGTCATGCCTTGGAAATTGAGAAGGCGTGGTTTGGAGCAACGCCAAATTTGGTATTTTCTCAGATTGCAGCTCGTTGTTGCCAATGAGGACGTAATGTGGTAGTGACGTAAACTTCTTATAATGATACCAGTGTTAAAAACAGACATAGAGCACTAGTACCAAACTGAAAGTGTTGTTGTTGCTCAGGAAACATCCTACCAGGCAGCAACTTTTCCATATTGAAAAGAAATAACACTGTTTTTATATCTGTAGCATTGATGCCAAACATATACATAGTTAACCGGGTTCTGTTTAGAATTGACTTTTGAATATGTTCTTYTGGATTGAATTTTGAAATTTTCTCATATTTAAACTAAATATAACTTTGGTGCTTGTTGTAGACCCAAGATGTTTCTTCTTTATAGTTATTCTTCTTTTTTTAGTCGGGATTTGTCATTTTCTGAGTCATGCTCAAAAGACCATAAGGGGTAAAATTAAGGCCCTGTTTGGCACGTCTTTCTATTTGGCCTTTTGGCTGTTTACAAACCGGGCAGACCGCACCGTAGTCTTTTTTCATTTGGTTCGTAACAGATCTAGCTGCCAAAAGTCGGTGTGTCGAAAAGACGGGAGAAGCCTATTTTGGATTGATTTTGGGAAGCTCCAAATGGAGCTTTTTGCATCTTTCTTGCTTTATTCTCATGCAGAAAGACATGGAAAGATGCATGGTAGCCAAGCTAGCTTCGGGCTGCTCAGATTTTCATGCAAAAGCCTAATGTGTCTTTTGACTATCAGAACTACCAGAAGATCTTCTCAAAAAGTCTTGCCAAATGGCCCCTAAGTTTTTCAAACATTTTTAGCAACATGTGATATCATRCTAACAGATCTGGAGGGATTGTGAAGAGAGGGGAGGTATTTTTCTGATGACATCACCCAACCCAACAGGGGAGTTTCTAATCCTATTTGGAAAGCAAAGGGGGGAGGTTTCAGTTTATAAGAAACATGAAAGGGGGGTTAAGTCTTTTACCCTTGTTTTAATTGTTTAGTCCATGCTCGAGTTCCCTAGACCTACCACACTCTGCATTCTGAGCACCCAGGAAGGGAATTTGAATTTTTATCTTTACTCTTTGTTTGCAAGACATGTGGAGAAACCGAAGGGTTTAAGCTGAAATATGAATTGCAATGCGGGAAATCAGAAGTTGGTATTGGCCCCAGAAAGGAAAGCAAGGGATGCGTGAGAAAATTGCAGCCAATAATCGCTCAGGAGACCTAGGTTTTACTTTTTAGGCCTCGTTCACATTTTGGTAACTTATCCGGGTAAATGCACTTATCCAGGTAATTGTTTACTAGGAAAGATTTACCCGGGTAAGTGCATTTACCCATGTTCTTTTATTTCCCATAAAAATAAGGTAATGACCATTTTATCCATAAAAATCCATTATTACAAAGGGCATTTTTGTCCCTTTCAAGTGTTGGCAACTTTCCCCCAAGGTGGGAAAGTTATTTACCCACTTAGGAGATGGGTATCACTTACCAGGGTAAGCGATTGAAAATAAACTTCCCTGATTCCACATAAATCTGAAAAAAAGAACATAGGATTTTTGGTCAATGGGAATCAAAATTCTACTGACCAACTTTTCCTCCTCTCAAAATCTAGAAAAAGAACGACCCCTTATAGAGGTGTTCATTTTCAGCCCGGCCCGGCCTACAGATTCTTCGTTTAAACCTAGGTTTTGTGTTCAGGCCTGTCTTGGGCTCAGTCTGCATTAGGCCTGCAAATTTCATGGCTGGACCTGGGCCCAGTACTGCAAGCCTGGCCTTTACATATATATTATTTATAGGGAAAAAGACTTAGGCAGCATTTGACACTTCTTTTTTAAGGATTTACCTCCTTTTTGCAATTATAAACCCAGTATTCATAGGGGCATTTTAACAGCAAAAAGGAGATATAGGGAAAAAGACTTAAACCCCTTCACATTACATTTGTTCTAAATACCGAGACCTCCCCTCTCTATGTTTTAGCCACAATCTCTACTATGCCTACCCTAGCAAATATCACAGTTTCGTAGTTCTCAACAGAGTCCGCTTGGCACCGACCCTCTTCTTCTTCTTCAAAATGCAATTCCCCAATGAGAGAACAATTAAAGAAATCAATACAAAATCATTTGTTCATCATGTTTGATGGTGGGCTGGGCTTAAGGACGGTCTTGCTACTGCACAGCTTGTGTGGCTCTTGATGGTCATGGTCAAGTCAGTCAATTGTGTGGATGCTGAATCTGTTGAAGCCAAAGCATAAAAGTGAAGGGAGGTATAAGTCTTTTACCCTTATTTATACATGATTTATATATGAATACGTGTTATTTTTATGTAATATTTTACATTATATACTACTGCTTAAGGCAAATTATATACACATAATAATATCACATATAATATAAAAATATTATATACATTTTAACATTTATAGACAGGGGCCAGAACCAGGCCCAACCAACCCCTTATCTCATGTACAAAGCCCAGCCTGAGCCCGGCCCATGATCACCCTTAGAGGTTGCCTATGTGCTCTGCACTTATATGTCTAATGAGTAATAGAGCTGTCCATGGGTCAGGTTTAGTCGACCGAACCAATTATGTTTGTCTTGGTTCTATGGATTGTGTCCCGATTAATAAATACTTGGGTTAAGGCTGGTTCTTACATATAGAGGTCCCCTGTTTTTTGTTAAATCTTATTTCTAAAAGGTAAATTTCAGATAGCATAGTAAAAAAAAAAAAAAATTATTTTATCTTTCTTTTTTCACTGTCATTTTATCAAGGTTATATTATAAAAAATGAAATTTTATTTATTATGATAGGTAATTTATAGATGTCAAGTAATCAGGTCCCTCTTATAGAATCGATTAATAATCTGTTTGGGACTGATCCACCCCGTCCAGAACCAGACCCAACCCAACCCATTGACAGATCTAATAAGTAATCAAACCATTATCTTGAGTATAGTTCAAAGTTCAAACAGGGACGCGCCATATCCATTCAACATCGTAGGATCTTACTAGGTTCCCTGTCCACAAAAACCAGCGCACTGTGCCTTTGGGAAATGACTCTGTAAAGTTCCCAACTTGTCTAAGGAAGATTTACGAACATCTTCGGCATGGTGATTGGGATTTGGGGCCGAGGGCTGATGATATCCCAAGCTTTAAGCTCTTGTATCATGTTCATGTTGTTAGAAGATGTGAGAAGATCACTTGGATCGTCGGGTTCTCTGATAGCTCTGTTGTTAAGGTCGTTGAAAGAGGAAAATACCCCTGTGAATTGTATATATTTGGCTGGACTTTCAACAATAAATTCAGGCATTGAGAGGCAGGTAGAAATGTTCAGCAGACATAAATGTGCTAATCAAGGATCAATCAAAACAAGCTTGTGAACCCAATAAAGCATTCTCATTCTCACTGAAATCAAAAAAAAAAAAAAGTAGAGGTACGATATTTCCTTTCACAAACTGTATTCATATTTGAAACAACAAAGTTGCAGAGCTTACAACCTGGGTACACAAAGTCCACAAATGTCATTTAAATACAAAGAAACCAAAGACTCCTTCAAATCAGTTGAGAAAGGCCTCCTTTATCACCTTCCCAACTCTCTCTCTCTCTCTCTCTGTTTGTCTTCCTTCAAATGTCTCGCTATATATAACTACAATGAAGTGGAGAAGAAAGAGGATGAGCGCTCCTTCCTTTGTCTCTTCACACCTTTCTCTCCTAACCCTCATCTTATTTGACCTAAGCTTCAACTAAATACCATAATCAGACCCCAAATTAAGGATAAAAAAAAAGAATCCTTCTGGACTGCTGTTTGTATARCACTATAGCTGCACAATTGTTACATTTCAACCCCCCAAAATCAAGAATGCATCTTTCTCTTCTCCGTATTTTAGTTGGCTTTTCTGTCAAGCCGAAGTGTAGCTTGAGACTGAGATGTCAGCAGCAGAGGCAGAGTGAATGTAAACAAATTCAAGACTTTTCCCAGCAGCTAAAGAGGTGATCCATGACGGGAATCCATAGGTTTCACCAGACTTGTTGAGGCCCCAAAGAGGACCGTAAAGCTTTGATATCGAAAGCTTAAGGTCCTTGACAGTTTTCCCAGAGTTGTTTGTCACCATGGTTGAGTATCTGTAGTAAGTTTTCCCCTTGGCATTCCACGATGTTGTTGTCTTTTGCTCAATAGCAATTGGGGCAGAAGATATAGCTGTGCAAGACAAATTACCCAAGTAAGCGCATACAAAGTTTGGTTACTCACTCAACCCAAACTGGACCTACAAAGCAAGAAAGATAACCACATGGGGATGTCTTCAGGACAAGGTTAACCCAATTGAAGAACTACTCTCTCAAGTTTGGGGTTGAAAAAGAATTGAAGAACAACTAATCCAATAATCCATGTCATGACATGGGAAACACAAACCCAAGTGAAGGTATGCAGGGGCACACAAAACCTACTTTTAACTGCAATGTTCTCCTTGAATCAATATTGGTACTCAATCTATTATTTAACCCAGTGAAATAAGCACCCACTTATCTAGTAGAATTTAGGTACTTGTGATTCCCTTGAGAAGAGTGCGGAGGAAATGAAAAAGAAACAAACTATAATAAGTAAAGCAGAAATATACCTGGGGCAGGTGTTGGTTTATGTTGTGGTGCTGGAGTTGGTTGCTTGGTTACAGATTTAGGTGGCGGGAGTGCAACTGCGAAACACAGAATGTTCATAGGTCAATAAGCTTCAATCATACATTAAAAAAAGAAAGAAAGAAAGAAAAGTAATAGTAGAAGAGAGCATATTTACCTGGTAGGAGTTGATTAAACCCACCGCTGCCTCCACTAAGTCGTGCCAATACACCGAGAAGGGGAGCATTGTTATAGGTTGCTGGTTCTGTTTGCTCGTAGTTGTCCCTCTGATCAGCGAAGTTGTCATAGGCATCAGGACCACCAACAATAGCACCTGTTAGGAGATTTGGGTCGCTTGCCTTCCGGCTGAACCAAGTGTTATAACCCCCTCGGCAACTAACAAATCTAGGGTCAACCTTGATAGACACAATGGAGGATGCTCTGTGGTGCACTTGTTTTGGGTAATTGCTACCGTACCCAACCATGTAACTTGTGGCTCTTGGGTTGTCCCCAAGTATGTAATCCACCTAAAGATGAAAACAAAACATATATCCAGAACATCAAGACCAATCAATTCTTCAAGAAAAATGCTTATGCTTGCTTGCATGTTTTTAAATTCCATGCAGAGAGGCAAATAAAATTTTTGAAGTACCTGAGATTTGGCAAAGCCAAGAAGCTCAGAGGGAGAGGCAGTTCCAGCAGCACACTTGACGCTTCTTTGAGCAGAAGAGAGATAGTCGGAATACACGGTGAGCAGGAAGGATGCACCGGTTACAAACTGCATGTTGTTCCACCTTTGGCGGAAGAGAAGGCCTCCAGGGCTCCTCTGCACATTCCGGGTCCCCTTTCCAAGGCATGAGCACATGAAATACTCCGCCTTCTGTTGGTATCTTTGGAAGACCGACGAGTGGCGACCACCCTTCCCTTGCATGAGAAACTGCAGAAGAACCAGGGTGGTCATTGAACCAGTTATGAATCAATATATAATGGGGTAATACAAATTGCAAGAACCAGGATTCCCTTCCTTTTATTGGTGGCTTCTTTTCTTCCAATAGACATAATCCATAATCCATAAGCAAATTGATATCATATGAGATGACATGTCCATACTCCATAATCCATACCTTGGAAACAAGAACTTGGACCCCAGCGTACTTGACATCCCATCCAAACTCAGTCATGGCCCAACCAGTCCCACCCAAGGAGTCACCATTGTTGCCCAGGTAATTGAGGTAATACACATCATTGGTTGCCCTGTAAATCCATGCAGCTGCCCAAAGCAATTCATCCTACAAACAAACAAACACCAGACTCACAACCAGGCTTGGACAAATCTCAGTTACAAAGTAAATACTAAATAACGGAATATGTCTGCGTACCGCATAGCCACTGAAAGATCGGTAGTATTTCTGCGCCACTGTGATGCTGCTGTCGTATTTGCCTCTGTATTTGTCAGCGAAGTCGAACAGCTGAAAGAAAATAAACAAGTCTTGTGGTTATTTTTGTACACACAATTTTTTTAGTGGTCCTCGGAATGAAAAAAGAGGTCTTCTACAGTTGTACCGTAGGGCTGACAAGGATCATCGGGTGAATTTATGAGAAATGTAAAGTGTACCACGATGCCGTACAAAGTGCACAGTATACCATTGACCACACTCCACACACACAAGTTTTCTGAACGATATGCCAGATATGTGGTGTGAGATGGATTTATGGTCAAAAAGAAGAATAATTCAATATGAACACGTTAGAAAGTAGAAACCATAGGAAGATGATTCCAGTCTGACGTCAGAAGAAAGATGGCATTGAGGAATGTAGTAAGGGTATTTGAGTCAGACCAAATTTATCTTTTTCGTTTAGTCGTGGGATGTGACGGTATTTTCAGAGTATGAATGGGGGTATAATCGTAACATTAAAGATAGTAATGTTAATGTACACTGTACACTGAACTGACTACTGTGAGTTGGCAAGTTGCCATGCCACGCCGTACGATCCCACCGACAGATACATACGACGCAACTCTATCCCACCTTTGACGGGATCATTCAACTGACGGTAACAGATTTAAAGTACAGATCTCCACCGTCAATATTCCGAGCCACCGTAGATTTATTCCGACAAGCAGTCCCGGTGCTCGCCGGAATATAGCTCACCGATGACCTGAGGCGCAGACAATTAATAGGTGGGTGGGTAAACGACATCGCTAACTTGCTCTGTGAGTGACAAACGGCAATAAGTGATAAGTCCGCACATGTTCGTTAGTTAGTTTTTACTTTTAGATTTTGACCGAATCCACGTCAGGTGGATGGACCGGTTTTACGCTTAACGTGAGCGCAGGTTAGGGGTGAAACAGGAGTTTCCAGAGAGCACGTTAGACTGTGCTAGGATGCGTACGATACGCAGCAGGCTAATGCTCCAGGCCTCCGGCAAAGTTGTGAAAGCAAGAAAAGAGGAGAATCTAGACCTGCTTAGCATGGTTAATGAGCTCATTGGAGTAAGACGGGTTGTAGCGTCGGAAGACGATAGAGGCTGCTGCCATTGCCGCTGCTGTCTCTCCGGCCAGGTCGGAACCGGGGTTCTTCGCATCGATCTTGTAGGCCCGGCGATCCGTCGTCATGTCCTCCGGCCTCTGCCAGCAGTAGTGGTCGCTGTTTCCGTCACCCACCTAAATTCGTCAAACACAATATTAATGATTAAACAAAAAGATTAGTTCGTTAAGATTGGAGAAAAGGACATTTTCAACTAAATCAGATAACACCGATTAAAACTAACAACAATATTATAATCAGATTTCAGTCTTGGTTACTGTCAAAACTAAAACTCCATCTAAAATTGAAGTTGACAGAAGGAAATCTTGGGGATTGAAATAAACACCAATGAGAAAGAACCTGAGCAACTTCCAATGAACATAATTAAACAAATTAACTTTTTAAAATTCATACAGAAAACAAAAATTCTAGTAAATTTGAAACAAAAAAAAAAACAGTGGAAACAAATTCCAATAATTACAATTCACCAGGAAAAAGAATTATGATAATTAAAATACCTCTCCATAGAGGACATATGGTTCTGGGTGGGCTTTAATGAGGTAGTCAGTGCCCCATTTCACAGCAGCCATGGCATGTCCAAGCTCTCCATTTGCAGCAATTTGCTTCCCATACTCAACTATGCTCCAGGACATCATGGTAATGGTGAAGGCCATTGGGAGCCCAAACTTCACGTTGTCCCCTGCATCGTAGTACCCTCCTACCAGATCAACCTGCATTTTATAGCAGAAGATGACTTGTTAATAAGTAAGACCAACATTATAATCTCATAACCAGAAAGAAATGGAGGGGAAATATATAAAAACATAGATCTGGATTATCAGGTTGTTGGGGTAAAGTAAATGAAAAGAATGAATTCAGTTTGCAACAAAACATGAGGACCCAAATTGTCTCCAAAAACAAAAGAAATACTTGCAATAGATGCAGATTGGTAAAACAAGTTAGTGCAGAAAAATACATATTAGAGCAAATCGAAAGGGGCTAGAATATACAGAGCGACCCATCTTACATAAGGAAAACAACCAAGTTAAAATGAATTTTCCTGTCATGTTCATCTAAAAATGCAGCGGCAAGAGGCTATGAGAAGTGAAAAATATGTATAAAAAAGAGGGACTATAATGGAAAATAAGGAGAAGGATGACAAAAGAAGAGAACTTACCCCACTAGCCTTCCCATCTTGCAGACCGGAATTGGCTCTCCACTGAACTCTCTGGTTCCTGGGTAGGTAACCAGACCTCTGCGCTTCAAAGAAAAGAATGCCTTTACTCAGGGCTTGGCCATAATCATGCCCAGCAAAAGCAAGAGGGAGCCAAACAAGTAAGGCATGCATAAACAGGGGAGTTATGGAAATGCATCTCCGAAGCTTCTCCATGTTTGTAAAGCAAACAAGAGTTACAGGGAGGCAACAAAATCCGAATGCAGAAACTTGATCCGCTCAGTGAACAAACAAGAGAGACAGATCTATTCTGCAACAGGTGAGGAAGGATCTAAAACCCGAATGAGGAACCCATTAGAATCCTCTTTCAGGAACACCACAGAAGAGAAGATTGTAAGATTGTAAGGGGGAAAACGACAATGTTGGTATGATTTATCAGCAAAAACTTCTGATAAACCAACCAAAAACCGAGGTAACGAGAAGCAGCGCCTCTGAGGACGGAGACACAGGGAAGGAGAGCGTTCGGAGAAATGCGAAGAACACAACCTTGTATATATGGAGGAGGAAAGGAAGGTCCCAAGAGCTCAGAAACTTGGCAGAGATAAATAAATGTATTAATTTATTTTTTGCTCACGAGGAATTTTGTTTTCTGGGGGACCCAGAACCGGAAAACGGTTGAGAGAGAGAGAGTGTGTGTGTCATGTACTCGTGTGTTCCGTTTCTATTTTCTACCTTTACAGAAGCGAGAGGGGTTGGTAGGGTTTTAATAAACTTACAGACGAGAGAATTTACTGCTGCTGTCTTATTAAGTTAAAAAATTATATACCGCAATTTTATGTAACGACGCTGCGAAATTCCAAAACAGGGAATGGGGGAAAAGGAAAAGAGTTGCAGCGGGTCAAAAAGCTTATCAAACCGTATTTCACTCTTTCTTTTTGGTGTCCACGTCGAGGTCCCATGTAACTTTGTGGGGTGAGGGGGTTTTCTTTTGCTGACACGATCTCTTTCCTCATGCCACGTAGATGGATGACATGGCAAATTTTGAATCACAAAATGAAATTCCACCTGTAACAGTTGAGGTCAATGTCGTCAAGTATGACTCCAGCAGTGAATGTGAATGGGAACTTTTAGACTTGATTGATGGCTTAAACCTTTTGTTTTGAAAAGGATTCAAAGAAGTAAGGGTCTGTATGGTTTGCAGTTAGAATCAGAATCAGAATTGGACCTAAAATTCTTTAGAATCAGAATGATTTATTCCTATAGTCTATTTGGTCCAAAGAGTGAGATAAGAATAGAAATAAAAATTAGAATCAGCTGGAATGGGATTTCATTCTTAAGAAAGGGGAGGGAATGACCATTCCCATTTTGCCAAAAATGGGAATAGGATTTGGATTCTGCCCAATCAAACAGTTGGAATTGAAATGACACCTCTATTCCTATAAACCAAATGGGCCCTAAAGATTGGAAGTGACAACAAAATCATTATGGATATTATGACTGGTAAGGTGAGTTGATTATTTGAAAAATAGTGACAGTTTATTACTATATAGGTGTTTATTCTAAAATGAGATTTGATAACTGTTTATTAAATAAATGTTCTTTTTTTTTTTAATGTGTGACAGCGTGAGAGACCATCATTGAGAAGAAACATTATTTTTAATGTTTTCCTTAATATCCAACCATTTATTTACTGTCCAACTTATATATTATTACCTAATAACATTGAATGACACCAAACTGTCAAACACCAAATAAACGTTTATGATTTGTTTTATTTGTATGTATTGCTTTACTTTGGGTGGATATGAGTTAGTGAGAAGCATTGTATGCTTGAATATAAGGATAAGGCAGGTTATGTTTTGAAAATGATTAATAAAATTTTAAGGTGATCATTCCTCCATCTGGATAAAATTTGGGGCTTGAAAGAAATCTATAGCTCGAATATATATGGACTTTATATAAAGTCAATCTTGCCCTGATTTTTCTTGTATCTATTAAGGTATAGTTTCCAATTCAAAAGTTCATCTCAGCACCCTAAAAACTCTTTGTTAGTAATGGTTCAATGCTTTCGTCCACTGGCATTAAAATCAATGTTTTTAGAATCAGATCAGACCGGACGGTTGGATGGGAAAAATCAGAATCAGTCACTTGATCAGTTTCGTTTTATCTCGAAATCGTTATTTGGCAAAAAACTGTTGATTTGGTCAATGAACCATTGATTTAGGTGGTCAAATCATCGAACCATTTAATCTGAAAATGATTTTTAACCATTTTTTGAGTTTTTTAAACTTTTTATTAGAACAAACCATCCATTCGGACCAGACAGTTACCATTCAACCCAAGAACCAAACTCAGAACGATTCCCTATTCTACCCGATTTTGAAAGCCTTGATTAAAACGAAAGAAAAAAGGGTTTGGGATTGAGATAAGAATAATGGACGTGAAACACATCTTAACCGAGCATGGAGCGAAAGTCCATAAGCAATAGGAACAAGATACGGGGTGGGGACTAGGGATCTTGCACTTTTGCCCTTTTCTTCTTTTTCATCTTTGGATTGTTCTTTCTGTAGACTGTAGCACCCACAAACAATACAACACTGGCTTCAATTGCAAGCTTACAAGTGATACGTATCATATATAATATGATAAATTAAAAAAGACAAACTATCATTTAATACAATTATAATAAGAATTGATGATCAGAGATGTTTATATATTATTTATACATCAGATGATGGTGTCTCAACCATGTCGTGTCTCCTCAAATGTGGCCTACTCACTCGTCCTTCATCTTCCTTTTTTTTTTAAAATTTTTTACACACTCCCTTCTCCTCAAAAAAAGTTTAACAATGGTGTATTTACTAATATTTGTATTTACTTTTTATTGATAATATATTTTTATAYTTAATAAGTTATATTTATCATTACATTCAATCAATATTTACATATTTTACTGAATAATACAATAAATATATCATAAATTTTGCCAAAACAATTAAAAAAAGACTAAATATAAACCTGGGAGACTGGGATGGGACCATAGAAATTGCCAAATGGACATCCTTGTGACATTTGGTTGGCATATATAACATGCTTTATTCTCAATACGCCATGTTATTAACATTAATATAGAAATATTTTATTTCCATTTTCCTTTCTTTTTGTATAATCTATGTGTATCATTTGGCCGAGTCAGCTTTCTCACATGTGTTGTTTGTCTCTTGCTTCACTCTTTGGCATTTGTATCAACCAGTCTTTAATAAAGATACAAACACCCTTTAATCCAAAACTTGCTTAAGCTGAAATGAAAAGCGTCCAACGATTGGACCTTGTGATCCATTTTATATAGTTCATTTTAATGAGTTCGAAGTTGTAAATAACAAACTTTAATTTCTTGGGAGTCGGGACCATGACAGATGGTTGGTGTACATATTAAGAATAACACCTTCAATGAAATAGTAGTAATATCCCAAGCTGAAGATTGAAGCCCAAAAGTTGTTAGAGGCAAAGATTTTCTCAGGAGGTAGAAAGAAAGTTCTTCACTTGCTCAGAGTTCTGAATATATAAAAGCAAGCGTATATATAATAGCTAGATTGATTTGCTGGGCACTGAAGTTTCAGGTCTTTTAATTCAAGAACTCGTGTAACTACAGCTACAGACTAATCACTAATCACAATCTTAATAGTTATATATAAGATAGGGTAATACACAGTAGTGAAGGTGTGTATTTTCCGGGAAGTAGGGGGGGGGGGGKGCCCACGTATTTTGGGGAGATGTGCCCTACAGACTACAGTTGGCGGACACACGGACTCACCATTCTGGGCCGTCCAAATGTCAAGTATGTCTCGTTGGATAGAGTAGAACCCCACTGATTACGCTGACGGGATGATTCCACCCATGTGTGTGTGTGATGCATGTCAAAATATAAACAACGTAAACGTTGCCGGTGAAGAGGAGCCGAAATTTCGAAAATAATAAATAAGAGAGAGAGAAAGATTTCTAGTTTGGTGACAGATAGATGAGTTGAGACTTCACTACTTCAGACTCCGGCATCATCTCCGCTTTCATTGCTGAAACTCCTAGAGAAAATAACAGAAATAAAAACGAAATCCGGCGCCGGTCCCTGTTCCTTTTGATGATTGTATGATTTATATATTTTGGGAATGACGTAATATATATATATATATATTTTATCTCTCTTTTTATCGACCTTGAATCCAGTCAAGGTCGCTTGACTCTTGAAGAGTAAAAGTAAATTAATCGTAGTTTTATTGATATCTGCAAACCTGTGACTCCCTTGTTTGTGGTGCACTTTGCACTAATACAAATGCGTGAAAGTGCAAGTGAAAAAGATAGAAAATTTACCGCCGGGGGTGTGTATGAGGCTGGAGATTCAAATGCACCCTAAAACCCTAAAAAGAATGAAATTTCTGTTTTTTTTTTTTTCTTTTTTTACTTTAGATTTTACCTAATTTTTGTTTTAGGTTTTATTTCACTCTATTGGCAATTGAACTTGTAAATGTAACAGTCAGAGGCCCTAATGCTCAGTTTGGAAGGAATATAAATACAAATTTGTAGAATATAAAATTTTGTATTTTATATTATTTTCTAAATATTTATACTGTATATATTTATATTTGTACTCTTTCCAAACTGAGCCAAAAATGAATTCYCAAGAAGAGACTCCTATACTCAAATCATGAGATAGAATCCACGATTTACAAGCATAATAACAATTAGAGGCCCTGAGGTGATTCCCAAGAACCTCTGATGCTCAAGTCATGAGAGGGAATTGGAGGTGAACGACAGCAATGAAAGCTATAAAAGCATGAGAGAGCAATGAGAGCTAAGAGTGCTTGAGTGCTTAAGATTGCATAAAAACCTTTTACCTTGGAAGGCAAGACTTTATATAGACGTTCAATGAACTATTGCACCACTAGCTTGTGGGACATATGTCACCTGCTAGCAAGGACATGTGGACATGGACCGAGGTGTTGGGAAACTGTAAGGCGGGATTTATCCATAACAAAAATTGTGCCAACATGATCTGTGTTCACACATCACGGACATGGTGGGTCCTAATCTCATGATGAGATGTATGAACGCATATCATGTTGGAACCGTGTTAGTACAGTTTTTGTTGTGAGCAGATCTCACTTTGGAAACAACGCCTCGGTGTAGTCCATGTTTCCCATTGCTGAAGGGGTGAAAAGCTCAAGCTGTTAGGCTGGCTCAGGTAACATGTGATTATAGTCAACATGTAGACTTATTTATGGGCCATACTTGGGCTTGTGTTTTGCCAAATTCTGATGGATTGGCTCGAAGMTCAAGCCCAATACAGTGTAAAATTGAGTCTAAAGCCCAACCCATAAACAAGTCTATTGATATATCGGTTGAACACATATCTAATCCTCAACTTATCCTGAACCATCAGCGCAAATAAAATTGTACTACAAACAAACTTAGCCATTTTAAAATAACAAATTAAATTACTCTCATAACTCAAGAAGGTTAATGAAAAAGCCATCTGATCTTTTCCTTGTGGGACAATAATTTCCTTTGAT